CTATTTATTAGTCTTCTCATTTTCTATTAGTAGAATTATTTTTTTGGCATTTTTAACTTTAATATGGTATTTAAAAACACCATATCAGCTTAAAAACCTTGTATGGCCTTCAAATCTTGTTCTATTTCTTCATACTAGCTCCTTAAATGGTAAAATTCAATTTTAATAAAGTCTTGATATTTTCTCAACAACTCCCTAAATTAATTCTGAGTAAATTCTAAAAATTATTGTAATCTTTTATAATATTAGTATTAATTCAAAACTATATTTTCTTATCTTGATAAAAAAATAGTAATTAAATAAATTTAAACTAATTAAAAATTATATTTACAATATAAATAATTAAAAAGATATGAAGTTCTTTTTCATATTTTTATTCACTACTAATTAGTATTTATAGTTTTTTTATAAGAATTACATGTAGATAGAAGAAAAATATAGATATTGGTCTTAATAATTAAATATTAATACTTAATAATAAACTAAATTATTAAACCAACTAAGATAATTGCTACTAAGACTTACTATGATTCTATTCTTAAATTTTTTTTATAAGACTCTTATATCCTATTAACATTACTAAATTCTAATAAATATTAAAATATTAAAAAAACTAATTATAATAATTTTTATATTTAAATAATTTAAAATTAAAATTTTAATAATTTCACTAATTAAGATATATTGGTGACACTAATATAGACCAATCATTTATAATAATATGATACAAAGCAAGAAAAAAAAATAATGATCAAATTTTAGAAATTTTTATGTAAGATAAAGAATCAATAGTAGAAAATTTTATATTAAGTGTTTTTACTTGAAAAAAAGGTAGAAAAAATACTTAAATTGTCCAAACCTTCATATTTTTAAAATTAAAATAAAGATCCTTAAGAAATACGTATCTTTTTTCAGATAGATGGTAAGATAGAACATGTTTGGTATTACTATCATAGAAGAGATATTTTATTCTTAATGATACTATTAAAGATATATATTACTATTTGTAGCATTTAAAATGTATTGTTTGAAGGTAATCATGAAGGTTCAAAAAATGATCAAATATCTTGGTTGTCTTTTTATTCGAATATGGAATATTATTAATTTTTCAAAAGACCTATCAATTAGCTTTGTATAGAATAAAGATTAAAATTTATTGCTAGTATTATTTAATAAATAGTGGACTTAATCAATTTATAAAACAACTTGATTGCTTATTTTATCAATTATTTTCAAAAAGATGATAGTATAACTAATGTCTATATCACTTAAATAAATACAAATAAATAGAAGTAGACAGAAACATAATAGATAGATAATAATTTTATTAAGAAATATTTTTAAATTTATTAAAATAGAAAGTAGATGTTTAAATTCTTATAATGTTATCTTATTTATAAAATAATAGTATGAATAGAAGCAAAAGTAAGATAGTCATCAAGTTTGTCAATATCTTATTATATTCTATTCTAGCTTTAAGATTGTCTAATCTTTTTATATTTAGCAATAGAATGTTTTTTCAACATCTTATATCTATTTCTTATTTATTTATTTTCTTTGTTTTCAAGTGACACATAAAAATATTATCTTTGATTTTTCTTTAGATGTTTGTTTTTCACAAAGAATCTAATTCTAAATTTAATAGAAATTTAATCTATCAATATACATATGTACAATATTATTAATACTACTACTATTATTTTAATGAATAAATAATTTAAATTTATTAAATATTGTAGAACAAATTATCTTTGAAATTATTATTTATATATTTATCATATTTTTATTAATATTTTTAATATATTAGATCTTTAATTTTTAAAATAAATTATTTCTTAATTATTTAAAATTAAGAATTTTATTTTATTTAATAAAAATAATAATTAAAAAACACATATACAAATAAAATCAAACTGAAAGTATGATATTAATAAATTTAAGATAATAATTTTACCAAACTATAAGATAATTTATTTATAAACATATTCAAATAAAAATACATAATTTTTGAATTAGATATTTTAAAATAATAAAAATGTGTTTTTTAAATTTTTCTTTTGAATCTACAAAAGATTTCAAATTTTGGTTATCAAAAGATAACAAGACTATATATTATAAATAGAAAAGAATTTAATTTTTTTAATAATATTCCATCTCTAAAAGAAAAAAATATATATTCAATATAAATTTAAATATAGTTTTTTTTCTTTTTATTTATATTAGAAATAATTATAAAATTCAACCTTAAATTTATTATCAAGTAGCTATATATAACACTTTTTTTTATTGCCAAGGTAAATATTTTTTTATTTTTTGATAATCTATATAAAAATCAAATTAAATATTTTTTTAATAATATTAAAGCCTATAGTCTTATCTATAATATAGCTGTAATATTGATTAATAATTAGTAAAGTCTATAGGCTTTAATATTGTAGTGGTCTTGCATGTCTTAGCTTTCTTAGGTAGAAAAAGATTTGTGAAAGTGATCCAATAATATATATATATATATATATATATATATATAATTTTTAAAAATAATAATTAAACTTTAAAACGGTAGATTTTTTTAATTAAAAAAGTAATGAATTTTAAAATACTAGTGCTTTATTTGATTCATCCTAATCAAGTGGACTCTGGTAATAAGACACCTTATTGTAGTTTGTATTGTTTACGTCAATTTTATCAAATAAAGATTCTTCAAAGGTTGCAAAGATTACATAAAATATTGCAAAGAATTTCTATATAAATAAATAAATAATTAAAAAAAAAAAAAAAAAAAAAAACACATGATGAGAACTTAGATCTTACATCATTTTTTTAACCAGTTCATATCGAATACTGGACTCGATTTTTTTAATCTTAAAACAACCTCAAATACATTAGCAATTAGATAGATGATAAAAACATTTGTACTTATACATGTATGTAAGTTTTTAACTTTTGAAAACAAAAATTACCTAAATATTCAAAAGTGTAACATGATGATCTTAAGATATTTATAGGGTGAATAAGATATCTTTAAAAAATAATCTATGTGACTTTGCTTGATTGTTGCATTATCACAAAAAAATAAACAAAACATTTAATGTAATTTGTAGGTGCTAAAAATATGAATTAAAATATTTTAAAGAATTAGAAAATTTGAGGTTTGGAAAGATGAAATCAACATATTTTATTCAGCCACCTCCTTTGAACGGAATTACTCTCCATCACTTAAGATTTGTATCTGTCACTCAAATCTAGAGCCTCAAAAAACATTAGTCCCAACTTGTATCGTTTATACTACTAATCAGCCAACAATGAAGTTGACATCAGGAGTTGACCCTAATGCTCCAATAAATAATAATAACAATAATAATTTAAAAAAATACACATCAAGAAAACAAACCTGAAAGTCAACAGTAACCAAATGCACCCACTGCTTGGATGCCACATGCAGGATTGTGAAGAGCACAAAATATATTCCAGTATCTACTCACGAGATTGTCTCTCTTGACGTGCATCGGCGCCATTTGTCCAGCGCTGTTTCTTCTGCTCGAACACATCTCTCCATTCAGCGTTAGTAGCTTACTTGTGAGACTGGAGTGGTGGTCCCCAACTGGGATCTTGCCTCTTCGTTGCTAAATTGGGTTTATTGGCAGTGCAGTCATCGGCACCCCCAGCAGAAAAGCTCAGTTACGTGGCGACCCACAAGGGTTACAAGATCATCCTTCTTTAAGGTTACGACACATAAAATGTGGTGTAACTGACCTTAGGAGTTGGACCTTTGCCGCCCCTACCCAGCTAACATTTTTGCTCCTATATCTCTAGTTTTGGTGTGCGAATCGGGATCATGTTGATCAGGTCCTGACGGATGAGAATAACCAGCACTGATGCGATGGAAATGTTGTTCACATCTTTCCACCTCTGGATAATAACGAGCGAAGTGAGAAATCGTTGGACATTTGCTGATTGACGCACTACATGGAAATGAGAGCATTGGATCTCGGTACTAGATGTTACACTGACGGGAGAAGTGGCAGAATTTCCCGCTTTCCAACTGATTTTAGATCTAGCAGCTCCTAACTCCAAAAATTTGATTCATTCGATTTCAACCTGATTCATTCAGTTTCTTTTCTGAAAGGATTCTGTAGAATTGCAGTGTCACTTGGGATCAATTTGCCAAGTGGGCAATTATCAGTTACTTTAATAGAACTGGCATATTGGCGCTATCTTAAAGACGAGAAAGCAAAAGCAATTCCTCTTCCTTGCCAATCGTTGGCTTCGTGTTATCAGTGTTAGGCCTTTGTGACCAGGACAGAACGGGGCGGACTATGATGTTTTCAAATACGTCCATCTTATTAGCGCAGGCTTCGCCCACGGAGACGCCGCAGCTTTCGATGACGCGCATGTGAACGATTATGTGCATAGTTTTCTTTATTGGCTGATACCCGCTGCAACGGTTAGATGTCAAAGAATGTTCACTTGTTTTGCAATTCGTTAGTCTAATTACGCACGTGGTGATAAGGATAAGAGCTTGGGGAAAAGTACTTACTGCAAGCAGAGAAAAGTATCGTCTAATTTTATCAGTTACATGTCAACGAATATGTGTCCGTTCTACGTTAGCATGATGGAAGATGTAGATTATGGAATTTGAACGGGGAGAAAAGTAGACGAGTGACGGAGTTAGAGAAGACGTTAGATGACATGTAACATATTGTTAGACAACGAATCTGATAATAATGTTGAATGATGCTTCTTTACAGTGAAAAAAGACTATAGCACAGTATTCCTAATTTTTTTATTGCATTTTTCCACGATGTAGATTAAAGATAATAATGAAAATTGCAAGTATATGAACATGTCCAAAAACCTTGGGTGAAAGCAGTCCTGTGAACACGAAGTTCACAGCATCAGATATTACACGCTGCTTCACACCATCAACATCATGAAACCTTAGTCCAGTCATCTCTAAAAGAATCAACCAGACCACTATTGTCAATACCCAGACAAACACATAGCATTAACGAATGAGATGTCATGATATTATGTACAAAACGAGGTTCACGCTGCAATTGGCCACTTTTCTTCAGATATGACAGCATGACATCCTGAAGCGACTTGCACATCAAGGTTCTGCGCTAAGAAATACCCTATCTGAAAAGTTCCCCTCTAAGTTCTACTTCGCACAACGTGGGGGTGCGAGAGAACCTACGGCTGGTTTACTCTGAACACTAGTCAACGAGTCACGAAACAGATACAGCTGAGATAGCCTCTAAGGAATGCAGTTCTTTTTGCAGTTCGCAGATGGAGTGTAATCCATCATTATATGAAATTCCAACTCACGACGTTCAATAGATTCTACGTCCTTGATTGAGGGTTCGCTCTCTGAGACCTCAGTGGTTGTTTCCGTGGCAACCATGGTAGGGTTACCTCGAAAGTAATATTCCTTCGACGATGCTGCACACAACAACAAGCTTTCAGCACAAGACTTCAGAAAAAATCTAAGCACGAAAGGAATCTCTATCGAACTGTCTGCGTAACCGAACAAAACGATCGATGGAGAAGTAGGCACCCTGAGCCAACAGTCATTACAAGACCACCCACGTAGTTCAAGAGATGACATAGACGCAAACGACGAAGAAGCCTATGTTGAGCCCTACTAAGAAGAACGAAACACTTCTGTAAACTAGGGGACAACACTTTCGCTCATTTCTTATTCCAGCGATTCTCGAAACTGTACATGCCCTCCAGAGTCGAGCAGTGAAACCATGCAACAAGCAACCACATTCAAGTAGAAAAAACGGCAGTCACCGGACGTACTGAGACGAAAAGGACTAGAACCCGGTGACGGACAAACGACACACTCCAGGTGCACGGAATGCGGTACCTGCAAGGTCCGTTTTCGGAGTCTGTTCAGTCACGACGTCAGCGGCGTTGACACCGGCAAGGAACAAGAAGCAGAGGGAACTGCAGACGCAGAGCAGTGCGAGAGCACTGCGACCGGATGCCATAGCCTCGTGCGGTGCAGTGGCGGATACTCGATCGAAGGCACAGACAGAGAGAGTCGAACAGGCAGTGAAGACAATCGGCAACATGAAACAACCTGTTTGACTTACCTTAAGTACGCCTGCAAAGCCACCTCATCGCTCTAAGACTCTTCTTCCTCCCCACTTCCTCCTCCGTCTATTTCGCGCAGAATCCTTGCTTCAAGCAACTTGCGCTCCGTTTTGCCCGTTTACAAGCCGGGGTTTTCTGATGCAGCGCTTACATATAGCAAATGTTATTGAATATTATCAGGTCAACGTGAGGTGGGGTGTGCCAGTGTGGGGTGAATCTTCGACGACCACAGCTTTCTTACCAATTTTCCCTGTTTTGTGGGTTAGTTTTGCTGATTTACCCGCAGGCTTGGTCGTTGCGGTGTCTGTGGCGCCTGCTGATTCACAACAAGAGGCATGATTTTATCTAACTTCCGGTGTGTCATATGACCATCGTTAAAACCCGATCATATATTCACAAGATGGGGATGTTTCTTTTAGAAAAATACAAGTTGAAAATCTGATTGTATAAGAGCATGAGCGATGATTTTTATTATTATTATTATTAGGCAGAGTACGCAACAATAGTATTGGCAACAAAAAAATGGGCTTGATGAAGAATTCTGTTGAATTTTACGTTGTAATTTACACATGTGTTAGCATATGTCTAAGTTAAGAAAAATTGTAACACGTTGTGTTATGGACGAGTTAATTTACCACATTGTATCCCTAGACGCTATTGTGGTTACCATATGTTTTTTGTTACTGGGTCAAATGAGTACTTTTTAATTTTTCTTTTTTGATGTTAAAGTCCGTCTATATCTACATAATGTGCCTCTCAAAACACATTCAATATCTGTCTTTCTTCTAAAATCTCTGTAGATAATAGCATCTAAAATTCTCTTAGCATGTATTAAATGTTTTGTGTAAATTATTCCTTTTTTTATTTATTATTTTTTCTTATCAATGTCAAGCTTTTTCTTGATTGCAATTAATACATTAACATCGTACAATAGAATATAGTTGTATAAACCAAACATCTCTAATTGTTTGAAATTTACACAACATTCAAATTTATTAATGTCATATCTATACTTCAACATAAACACATCAAATTGTTTGTACTATGACTTTAAATTTTGCTTTAGTGCAAAAGATGATTTTTTCAACTTCTATATGAAATCTCCTTCTAATGTCTCTTGAAGTTTTTGTTATGAAGTATCTTGATCTCTTATCTTAATTCTAAGTACAATAAATTAATAGTGACATATAGCTACTTGAATTTTCAATCATATTATGTGATTATTGTTAAAAACATAAAAACAAAAGTAATTCTTCCAATGTGTAAGAAGATTTCTTTTACAGTTAATGTTTTTTTAATAATTATATCATTTTGATCCTATTTTTATTAATATTATAATATATTTGAAATTTAATTTAATTTTTTTCATAATTAATAATTTCAACCAAATCTTAGATAACTATACCAAATTTTTTATTTGATTCTTTTAAAGAGATTCTATCTTTTTATTCATTATTACCTTTTTCCAACATTGATTGTATTTTTTTTATATAAACTACTAAAATATAAAATATTACCATTTTTAAATAAAATAAATGCTATAATATACATACAATCAATTTATTGAAAGCAATTTGTCTTTGTTGTAGTATCTATAATTTTGTACATTTTTAATATAAAAGTTTTATCAAGCTACATATTTGTCAAGGACAAGAACACGATTAAGACAAATAAACAAGTGAGACTTCTCTCAAAGAAAGATGACAAAATAGAAATAACTTGATATATATATTAAGAAAGAAACTAGAATGGCTATTGCCAAAAAGCCAAGAAAACTAGAGACCCTTGAAACTAGATTCGAAGCAAGAAAGGAGTTGACAAAAGTGAAGAAGGCTTCACTCTTGTCTCTATATATACTATCTAACTAGAGGCTACGTGGCGACGTTCTATAGGACCTCCAATATGTATTGACTTTGTCGGACACATGCCTTGACTTACAAGGTAAGTTTTTCTACGTGTGGGCCACATAGTTAGCTTGGTCTTCAAGCTAACAACATGTGTAGCATATGGCCAACTTGTTGACTACGTTTTTAATCCAAAAAGTCAATTAAAGACACCTATAAAGTCAAAGCAGCGTCTATGAAGCTTCTAAAAAGCTTCCATACCAAATACTATAGAATTAACTTACTTTTATCTATTTTTACTTACTTCTACCTATTTATATATGTAATAACTAGCTTACATGAGTATGTCCATGATATTATCCCCTCTTCTAGGGACGTGTTCCACGTGGAGCGGTCATCATATGTTGAGAAAATCTATGATGCGACGAATTGTATTCGCCACATACTCTGATCTTTGTTCTCTTCGAAGATGATTGATAGGGCCACTCAACCATCGGTGTCATGTTGTAACACAACTATATGGTGAAAATATAAATAAAAAAGATATTATTAATATTTTATCATCTTGGATGTTAGAAACAGTGGCCAATTCTAGTGCCACTATTCAGGGTCAGTTAATGTCATCCCACCGGCATCATCGAACCAAGTACCCTTCGTACCAACGGGACAACCAAGATCATTTTCCAACCCTACATGGAACAAGCCTAATAGGTATATACCGGTGGAGACACCCAATATGCATGATGGGGGTGCATGAAGACCACTTTGTCATTTCCATTACAGACAAGTTGGTCATTATGCCAGTGAATGTTCCAATCCCAAAGCCAATGATGATTATGTGTCAATGTATAGGAATTGCAAGTAGACGAGGCATACTTATCAGTAATATAATGCTCCGTCTAATTTCAATAAACGGGATCAACAGATCCAAAGCCAAAGAAAATTTGAGGAGATAAATCAAGGTCCTTAAGATTCTCCGGTAAATCGGGTGGAATGAGTCCAAGTTGTTCTTACCAAGAGTCGACAAAAGGAAAAAGGACCAATTCAATATTCAGATGAGTCTGATGTGAAGGGCCAATTTGACCCAATTACGGAGACATCCAATCCAGGTCTTGGTATGGGCCTCTTAACTTGTATGAGACCTTACTTGGATGGGCAACCTAATGAGGTCCTGAATACAGAGGCTTCAGTTTTATTTCAAGCTGTTCCGTTCGTTATGTCGTTTCGGGAGAAACGTCCTTTTACGTGGAAAGATCATCTTAGAGACAAGAATTTCGGGAAAGTGCAGTCGACTGTTTCAATTTGGAGTCCAGGGCAGGAAAAAATGGGACCATACGGAGTTAAAAGAGAGGAGAGGATAAGAAAAGGAACCACATGGAGTTAAAAGGGAAGAGAGGATAAGAAAAGGAGACCACACGGAGTTAAAAGGGATGACAGGATAAAAAAAAGAGACCACACCAAGTTAAAAGGGAAGAGAGGATAAGAAAAAGGGACCATACAAAGTTAAAAGGGAGGAGTAGGATAAGAAAAGGGAACCACACGGAGTTAAAAGGGAAGAGAGGATAAGAAAAGAGAACCACACGGAGTTAAAAGGGAAGAGAGGATAAAGAAAGGGGCATTCGAGAGATCGGGATTTTGGAATTGGAGAGCTAGCTTCAAGCTCTTTCAAAAGGTATTGAATAGGGTTCATAGGATTTGGGAGGACTTTGCAATCATTGCTCAAAGTTAGTGTTTGTATTGGTGAATTGGATTCATAGGATTTGGGAGGACTTTGCAATCATTGCTCAAAGTTAGTGTTTGTATTGGTGAATTGGATTCATAGGGTTTGGGAGGACTTTGCAATCGTTGTTCAAAGTTAGTGTTTGTATTGGTGAATTGGGTTCATAAGGTTTGGGAGGACTTTGCAATCGTTGCTCAAAGTCAATGTTTGTATTGGTGAATTGGATTTTTTTTGCAATAAAGCAACGGTTGATACCCTTGACTATTTTTTTTTTGAAATTGAGGAAACTTTTGCGATTGAAATTTAGAGGTGTCTAAAGGATTTAGTATGTCGAGTGCATGCAAAAATTTGTGTTAATCTGATAGAACAAATAGAGAATATTTGACCATTAGTGTAAAGAGGTATCGGAAGTTAGTAGACTGGGGTTGTTTAGGATTTCTATAATATCTGGAGATCTACTGGTTGCAATAAGGTGACTTTTGGTGTGGTAAGTTGAGGACTTTTAGGTGGCGATCAAGATACATCAGTGTAGATTAATGGCATTTTCTTGCAACCTATAGGTTAGATCTGATTGAAACTTCTTGAACATTTAGAAGGCTTGCAAAGACACTAGTGGTAGAAGTTTACAACAATCGGATTATCAGATTGAGAATTAGAGCTTCCCGAAGCTTGCTGTATAGGATTAGGATTAAAAATAAAATAAAATAAAAATAAAAATAAAAAATAACAACTAACAAATAACAAAAGATTTTGTACTTATAATATCTTAAAATTATTAAAAATAGTGTTTCTAAGCACTTTGTATTGAGATTAAGCTTTTACATTGAAATTCGAAATAGTTTGTATTTAGATAGTTGAAATCCACTAGTTTACTTCAATACTTGCAAAACATTGTTTTATCTTCCACAACTACACACCCGGTGCGTTCTCAAGCAAGATAGCATGTAATTCAACATAAGTGGTGAACTCGACGTCAAAGCTTGAGGTGGAAGGTATTGGATTTCGTTTATTTTCATTTTATTTTATGGAGAACGAGAATGAAAATTTTAAAGGATCTTTGGGAGGAGCTTCAAGTAGAGCTTCTGGTGGAGTTCCTTCTAAAGGATAGGGTATGTACATGGATCCATCCATTGCTAGTATGTTTCAAGCCTTATCATTATCTATGCAATAACAACAAAGCAATGATTGCAAAGAAGCTTTAGCAACCAAAGCTTTGCAAGCAGTGATTAATAAAATTGACTAGTTTGATGGAAGGAATATTTCAAAGTATTTAAGATATTATGTTTGAGAAATAGAATTAAATCGGGTTTTTGAGAAGAAGATGGTTGAATTATTTGGACTAGCCATGATACCAGAGATAAGAGAGCATATTATCTCAATTATGGAGCATTATGAAAATTCATGGGAGATTTTTTCACATGCATTAAAAGACGAATATTTCTTGGAAGACACTGATCGTGTTACTAAGA